TATATCTCTTCTTTCAAAGACAATGTGTTGTTCTTGATTATATGTGAATATATATCATAAATAAAGATATCCTTTTATTTTACATTACTTTTTTATTGGGAGTTTATGGACCCCAGTGCAGGAATGGACATCATGACAAAAAGTGAAGGACAGATGAACAAAGACAATGGATTGTTGTGAGTGGTGTTGCATCCTTACTCACCTCCTTACCTTCTCTCAGGAGTGGGGGGGGGGATTGGCTTTCCTGTGTTTTATTTTGCTTGCTACAGAGATGATGCCATGAGAGGATCAAAACTGGGGTGCACATATATTCATGTGTGCTTTGGATCTTCACCACCACTGCTCCCTCTGTAACACATGAAATGGATGAAATGGATGAATGCATGAGAAATTGAATGGGCAGAAGTGGGCTCCCTCACCACCCATTAAGTGTCAGTGAGAAATTAGGGTTTAGAGTATCATCCACAGTTGTGTTGCATTTTTCTCCATGACAGCACATGGGATCTGAGGGGTCAGCATGATCTAAAACAATGTTGATGTCCATTGTGATTTGGTACAGCATTCATGTCCTTTGACAATTGCACAATATTGAATATGGGTTTCAAGACTCAGAATTCACAAGAGATCCATGAATGGAAAATTGAAGCTACAGGAGAGAGTCCTTCAAAGTGTTATCAGTTTTTGGCAGTTAAGCAGGAACTTTGCACATTTGCTTCAGAGTTGCTCAGGGGAAGTGGGGAAATAAAATAATGTAAACAAAAAAAAACATAAAATAGTAAACAGTTGGGCATTATTTTGATTGAATGTATACTGAAAGAAGGCTTATTTTTTATCATTTTATTTGCATGCATGTATATTTACACACAAACATGCATACACACTGGCATTTGTTTTTTCCAACAGTTTTTCATACAGAGTGGTTGTGCACAGGGGCCTGTTTATTGTTGGCTTCAATGCAGAGCCTCAGAAATATGGCAAATTGGATCATCTCCAGTGTCCAACTAATTTGACTATAATAACCTTTTTCCAAAGGGTGGCCACATTTGCTGACCTGGCCCCCATGAGCCTTTTCACAATTTCTTCTCCTTTTTTAATCTTGCTTCTCCTAGTACTGTATTTTCCCACTTCTCCTACTTTTTTTTCTGTGTTTAATGAACTGCCAAGCTGGACAGTGTTGAGTTTAGGAAATGCCACATTGTGCTGTGCTTAACTCTTTGCCATACTGGTGACCATACCATGGTGATGTAGATTCAATCTCTATGCAGGTTTTTTTATAAATTGAAATGGGTGGTGATGCAGTGATGTACCAGGTCACTCTGTGACTCAGCAAAATAAACCCTTCACATGTGCTTGTGTTAAAAAGAGCTAAAACACCACAAGTTGTGATGGAGAATAAAGGCATTTCTTCTAATTTTGAATCAAAATTGATGGAAAAATGTCTGTGGTTGTCTGTGGAAGTGAGTGTAATTGATGGTAGTTATAAACATTCTCAGCCCATACATTTCTTTGTGTATCATTCTACTTATTGTATGGATCATCATGAGTATTGTCTGATTAGTTGATATACTATAAAATCCAAGATGTTTTCATTCTCAGCCAGCTACACATTACACATAAAATATGGTACATGTTCAAACAAGTTTTTAATACACAAGCATAACCATTGTGTATGCTAAAAAACAACAACAGCAATAAAAAAATACTAACATATAACTTAACTTTTAAAACTGTCAGAACATTTGACACAAGTTCCAGCTACAATATGTGACTCAGGATCTTATAAGAAGCTTACATTTCAGTATATTTGTTGATTTTTATCATTTACTGGCATTTGTATAACTGTGTAGATGTGCAGAGAAAGGATTAACTACAAAGTTAGGGTGAGTTCCACATATACTTGTATAGTCATACTTGAATTTTATCTTAATCTATATTTTTCCAGGAAACATGACTATAATACAAAATGACCAACTTATGTTCAATAGAAGTTTGACATAATTTATGTATTTGTGTGTTTAATTTTATAACCATGATAAATAACATTGATATCAAATACACATGTCACCATTGATTACTTGCTGTGAAATTTGTGGGTTTTTTTTTTTTTTTTTTTTTTTTCTATTTTGATTTGTAAGTACAGTTTTTTGTAAATATATTTAGTCACATATTTTAATGTTTGAGTGACCATGTAAAAAATCCATCAATATGATCAATATATTATTAAAATATACAATATTTCCAGTGAGAAAAATTGAAATATATATATATATATATATATATATATATATATATATTCACAAAGTATCATTTGATCAATACTCACGTCACCAGCATATTGATTTTAAAAAATAAAATAGAATAAAATAAAATAAATTGTAACAACAACCCTCCAAGCTCATCCTTTTGCTCAAAACTTAGTTTTCAGATGAATATATAATTGTTGCAAATTTTCAAGATGAAACATTTCAATTAATGAATATCAAATTAAAAAACCTTCATAATCCCAAAGAAAAAAAAGAAAGGAAAAAAGAAGGTTGAATATCATAATTAATCAATTAAATACACATATTATTGTGTAGAATGTTGTGATAAATTCATAAAAAAACCACACAATTTTGCAATGAATCTGACAATATTTTTATTTAAAAATAACAAGAAGAGGATATCGATGACTTGGGTGTGTACATTCAAGTATAATATTTATTTATTTATTTATTTATATTGTGTTTCTTAATTACTTTGAGGGCAGTCGAAGACTTAGTTTTTGTTTTCACTTTTGGCGTTGGCGTTTCCTTCAAAGCTGACCAACCCCCGAGGGACGGTTGATTTAACGGGGATTCGAAGTGAAGGGAAAGGATGAACAACAAATAAATTTAGAAAACCACTTTTTCTCCGCCTGCTGGGAATATTAAATTGGGGGATCATGCACAACTTTTGAGCGTTGCTATCTAGACCCCAACTTCAGCGAACTCTATGTCCCCCTATATTTGGCCCCCTCTTCCGCCAAACACCCACCCCCCCTAATTTCATACAAATCCCAATATGCCTTTCGAGGCTGCAGCCCCCCAATTGAACACCGGATCCAACTCTGCATGATACTCCCAGATCTAAAGGAAGGCCCAACTCCCCTCCGCGTCTCTAAATCCATCTCTCTTCCGCCGCTTTCTCTTGTCCTACTAATGGCCACACCCGTATTTGTGACAAATTTCCTCTACTCCCTATTTTCCTCCTTTCACTCTAAATAGAAAAAGAAAGAAATAAAGTATAACCCTCAATTTTGGTATTGGTTTTTCCCTCTTCGTTTGCTTGCAACGAGGAGCTTTGACAAGGAAATAGAAAAAATAAATAAAAATTGCAACTTGAAAAATGAGTCCTCATATTTCCAAGCTTCTAGATCAATTGGGGGGGGTATCCTCCTTATTTCAAGGCCAAGTTGGCGGGTGGCATTGGTGGTACTACTACCATTACTCCTCCCCCCCCCTCCTACTCCTCCTCTTCCTCCTCTATGTACACACTTAAATGGATTGGACTCAGACAATGTAACCCCCAAGACATGGAGGTATGTTATATTGTACTTTTTTCCATTGGATTATGCCTCACCCAAAATAAAATCCAGAAAAAGAAGAAGTGAAAGAAGAAGAAACAGCAACCAATATCTCAGTTTCTCCAGGTTAGTACCACCACCCCCTCAGAAAATGTGGGGGGGGGGAGCAGGCTGCTTAGCCAACCAACGGCTGCTGCTCTTGGAAACATAGGGTTTCAGGAGAGGGGGCAGACAGACAGAGGGCAGGCAGACCGAATTTTCTTCAGAAACTGGGGTAGCAGCTTGTGGCATTTTAGACAGTGAGTTCTATTCCTTCTCTCTGTGTGCTCCATACATCTATTAGTTGCAAATACAACAACACTTGCCACAAAGTTTGTGTAATAAAAGGAAAGGGGTCAACAAAAGGGTTAAGTGGGCAGAGGTGTAGGGGAACAACCAAATGGGGGGAGCAAGCCAGAAGAAAAATCATTGGGGTGTTGGGTCATAAACCCACATGCAAAGTTGATGAGAGGGGGTGGGAGGGACCCATGATTGTGTTTAGCATCACTGTTATGGCACCAGGTGACATTCACTTTGAGTGGGTAGGGGAGATGGAGGGTGACTTTGGAAGGCACAGTGAACACATGAGCTCTTGGGGGATGCTTTTCATGTGTTGGCACTGAAGATGAAAGACACAAGGGGGAGAGGAAGGAAGGATGGAAGATGGTACAAAAGCCTTTTTGTTGCCACCCAGTAAGGCAATGCCCACCCCCTGTCCTCACTATACAACAAACAAAGACAGAGTGAGAGAGAGAGAGAGAGAGAGAGAGAGAGTAGGTAATCATGTGTGACAGGCCTGCCACTCAAACTCACCCAGCCTCTCAAAATCAGACTGTCACTCCATTCCAGCACTCATCACAGGTACCCCTTCATTTCCCACCCCTCAATAGTGAATCCTCAATAGTGTCATTTTACTTGTGGTAGTATTATCACCCACACAGCGTCTGTGGAGCTAAAGAGGGGGGGGGGAGGAGGAAGGCAGGTTTTTCATTGGGATTCCTGCTGCTGGCTTATTATAGCATATGACCAGCAGCACAAAGCCAATTGGACAAAGATGTGAAATGATGAGAGGGAGATGAGGAAATGGGGATTTGGATAATGGATTTACCCAACCAGTCTGCGATGATGCATACTTAGGGGGAGAACCAGATGGCGATGGTGAAAAGTGAAGTGGTCAAAAGTCACAAAAAAAAAGGCTAGTTAGTGATAACTGGGGGAGACTGGTAACTTTCGGAGAAAGGCCCAGTTAGTCCGTCTGTCTCCCCCCTCGGCGAGACTCACTCCCTGACCGGGCAGAGAGTAAGGGTGAGGAGGGTTTGTCCGGTCTGGGAATACATATATGTTGGAGACATGCTCGCAGTAGGGTGGGGCAGCGGGCAGCTACCGGCGTGGGCAAGGCAAGAGACGGCAGGGATTGTAAATAGTGTTGGCATTAGATGTGGGCTATGGTGTTGGGAATAGAATAATGACCTATATTTGTAGAGGAGCGGGGACGAAAATGAAGAGGGGATGAGAGTGCGCCAGGACGGAGAGAATTCGCAGCCGTGTTTTGGTCAAAAGTCATGTTCATGCGCAGAACTTCGTTTCTCAAACACAATCATCAATCGACTGACTTCCGCTTCTTCTTCTCAACATCATCAAGACTAACCTTCCCCAGCAATTGGATAACCAAGCAGAGCGAGTCTGTCTCCTCGGCTAGATCTTGGGGTTTTGCGCCTGCTCCAGTGAGCTAAGAGCATACATAGGAAGCAAGCGGCGTGTGTGGGTGTGTGTGATAGTGCGTTTGTTTGTTTCTGTGAGTGTGCGTGTGAGAGAGAGAGAGAGAGAGAGAGAGAGAGAGAGAGAGAGAGCGAGCGATAGAGCACAGCGGGGTAGTGTAGTGTGCAGCGTTGTTGCAACGTTGGTGTGCTGGCGTGTGACGTTGTTGTTTGAGGACGTGAGGGTGCATCGAGATGAACTTCAAGCTGGTGAAGGAGGAAGCATACGGGAAAGATATCGAGTTACAGGTCACTTCCCAGGTGGGTTCCTTGGTAACAGTGTGTCAAGAGAGACAATGAGAGTGAGACTTGAACCTTGGTTCTTTATGAATGCATAAGCATGCGTGGTAGTCGGCTGTACGATGGCTACCGAATAGAAATGCAATTATGGGGGCTAGGTGGGAGCTCTGATGGTGGAGGCAAAAGACGAGCCCCACTTTAAAGGGGAGAATCGTCGTGAATGATAGCATGTAAAGCAGTGCAGAAGGGTTTGTTGGTGTAGAGCTTGAGGGGCTGCAAGGAAGCGTGTCCAAGTTTTGTAGAATTCATCTTCAGCCGGTGGTTCTTGAAGCTCCAGAGATTAGTGTTGTTCTTTGCAAGGGAATGGGGGAGGGGTTGTTCCGAGGAAGGCGATGTCGTTGTGTAAGTTATCCCATCTGTGGCTTTGTCTGGAGCTCTGAGTACATGTTCAAGAGAATACTTCTGGGCAGTTTAGGTGGCGGATATATGGTGATTTTAACCAGTAGGATGTGATCGGTGATTAGCGTAGTGTACGAGAAGGAAGTTTGTGTTTCGACCGCCGGTGGTAGCGTAGTTGGATACGTGGAGTCTGCAGTACACTGGATCACAGCTGCCTCCCGTGCTTCGCAACAGCAAGCTCAAGTTGTCTTGTCTGTCAGGGCCAATTTGCAAGTTTACAGGCCGCGTCAGTTCTAGCAGGTCGGGCGCAATGCTAGAGATTTTGAGTATTGAGCTTGAGACTGTTTGTTTTGCAGGTCAAAAATAAGTAAAGCATAGCCTGGTGAATACTGTAGGAAGTTCACATTGGTTCTATGTTCGCACGCTCTGATCATTCTCTTTGAAGAATGTACATCGCGTAAGATCGCATCGGAGAGCTTTCAGAGTCGGCGCTCAGGCAAGAGAGGATGCAATATTACGGAGGTATGCGAGGTTTCGATGAAGGGTCCACAAAAATGGACGAGTTGGACTGTGAACTATGGCATGCGTGTGCTGGTCCTCTAACGCAACTGCCTCCAGTTGACAGCCATGTGATGTACTGGCCACAAGGACATATTGAGCAGGTGTGTATTTTGGCGTTGGTTCCCTTCCTATACGAAATTATCGTTTTCCTATTTATCCTACTTGTCGCGCCTCAGGGTTTGACTTCTTCTTCAGGGATCCTCGTTACCACTTAGTTTGGGCTAGCTGGTTGCTTCCTTAATCAGAAGCGGTGATACTCGAGGATTGTTCTTCTCTCACCCTAGTGTTGACGAAGTCTACTGCTGTGCTGGGGCAGGTAGTTGCATGCACGCCAGATTCCGCAGGCGCTGCAGATGTCTATCAAGCATCGAAACAGTTTTCAAATCTACCCGCCCATTTGCTTTGCAAGATAAGCAAGATTGAGCTGCAAGTAAGTTGCACTCGAATATTTGGACAACTGACATGTATTGCCTTATTTATCGTGCCTAGCATCGCAAATTCTTTCCATAACGATGGCGCACTTTCCGCCAACTAATCTTTGGAATTTCTTGTAATAAATACGAGTGGTGTGGTTGTCCTAGTCTAAGTAATCACTTCGTGGTTGTGCAGGCGGATCCTCACACTGATGAGGTGTTCGCACAGATGGATCTCACCCCGCAATACGAGGTGAGCCTTAGCATGCAATCTTGCTCCCATCTCGTACACTTCAACCTTGTTTATGTTCGTGTGCTAACATCCTTCATGCTCACATTTTTGGGCAAGAGTAACAGTTCGTATGTTCTCATGGCAGACGGAGTTTACTAAAGAAATGAAAGATGCGCCACCTCCAACCATGCAAAAGAACGTCCGAAGTTTTTGTAAGACATTGACTGCGAGTGATACGAGTACTCATGGAGGTTTTTCGGTGCCCAGAAGAGCTGCTGAAGATTGTCTGCCTTTGCTTGTGAGTTATCTTTTCTTATGACCTACGTGTATACGTAATATCCCCAAGTATTGCTTGCTTGGTCCACTAAGTGCGTAACATGATTCTCGGTACCTCACGATGCGTGGTTGATGGACTTCTAATAATCATGGGAAGTGCAAGTATTTTAGAGCACTTTCATCTAATTATATTGTTTTTGGCCATTCCAGGACCACAGCATGAATCCTCCATGTCAAGAGCTTGTGGCTAAGGATCTGCATGGCAAGGAGTGGAACTTTCGTCATATTTATCGAGGTATTTATGTATTTGGTGATATTTATGTATTTATGGTATTTATGTATTTGAGAGTCACTTTTCGCATACCTGTATTGCTTTCTTTTAGAAGTATGCCATTGACTTTCAACTCCCAATTGTTTTTAGTGTTGTAGATAAAGTACAGTGTTCGTAGCCCAGCGATATTTTTCTTTAATTCTCTTTCTCTGTACAGGTCATCCACGAAGACATCTTTTAACAACAGGTTGGAGTGTTTTTGTCAGTCAAAAGAGGCTCGTTGCTGGGGACACTGTGATTTTCCTACGGTAAGTCTTGACGTCTTACTTCATTTCCTCTTGTTCGGATGGGAATTGTAGCCTGCAGATAAAATTTATTGGAATGCTGGCTTTCCCAGTTCAAATAGTGGACTTCATTTAGGATCTTTTGTGTCGTAGAGCACTCTCTGACTCTTAAGAATTCATGCTCTGCTTCATTAAGATACACACGACGACGAAGAATAGTTTTTCGTATGTACTGTGATTTAACTTGCTCGTCACTGATAATGGAAACATCTGTCATTCAGTGGAGAAAATGGTCAGCTCAGAGTTGGAGTACGTAGAGCATCTAAGCAACTGCCGCAAACACGCTCCACTCACTTCAGTAATGCGAACTTGCATCTTGGGGTGTTAGCTGCGGCATCTCATGCAGCTACTGAAAGGCTGCGTTTCAGCGTGATTTATAATCCCAGGTTTGTTTTGTACTTGAGATTGGTTTAGAATTTGATAAAACTGTGCGACCAGGAGTACTGGAATCTAGTGTAGAGTTGCCCGGCTGTATTCATGACTTTGATACCGATGTTCGTTTGAAGAACCTCCAACCTCCTGTGAATCTAATCCAGAACATATGATTTATTCTCCTTTTATTGCAGTTAGAAACTGAGAAATAGCTAATGTCCCAATGTGCGCAGGACAAGTCCATCTGAATTTGTAATACCCTATCATAAATATCTGAAGACCAAAGAGAACAATCTGACAGTTGGTTCTCGGTTCAAGATGAAATTTGAATCGGATGAGTCAACTGAGAGGAGGTACGATGCTTTCGTATTTTCTTCTAGTTATTCACCTTGCTTCTAGTTGTCTACTTTTACTACTGTGCTGGGATTCAAATATGTTGTGAAGAGTTTTGATGAAAATTGCATGTACGTGTCCAGGTACTCCGGTACCATCGTAGAAGTGAGTGACGCCGACCCACTGAAATGGCCAAATTCAGCATGGAGGTCCATGAAAGTGGAGTGGGACGAATCAGCTAGTGAAAGGCACGAAAGGGTATCACCATGGGAGATCGAGCCCTTTGTGCCGATCTCCACCTTGCCCACACCTTCTGTGGGGCCTAGGCCAAAGCGCCGACCACCTACCTTTGTGACAGACTCGTCCCCGCAGGGTACGTTTTCTTTCCTTGAATGAATGTTTGATGAATGTTCAGAATTTACCATCTCCCTACATCTGTCTAGGCGACATAGTTCCATTCCACGAAGGGCTAATGTATTCAGAACTTTTAGGTTTTTGTATGGCAGTTTTATTGATCTTGCACGCTTGCCACCTTCAACTCGACTGTACCCTAATGCTGTAGTTACTGTGATGTGCAGGAACCAGTCAAAGTGTGTTAGATCCTCAGCAGTCCAACAAGTTGGCAAGGATTCTACATTCTCATGATCCTCGAAATGAGTTGAGTATAGGAGATGACGATGACGGGGATATCGAATCCTCCCGGACCTCCTCATTGGCTGTCAAGCAGGAACAACCGCCCCGTACTGGACAACAAATTTGGTTACAACGTCCAGATGTTTCCTCCTGTGGCATGTCAGCTAGTCCATACTCTAGTCCTAGGCTACCATCTATGGCACCATTTGCCCCCCTGCCAGCAGACAAAACTGACCTGCAGCTGTCTGTAAAATCTGGCAGCTTGGATCAAACTCTCAGCAACGACGTGTCGAGTGTGTCCTGTGCGCCATACGTGGGTCCTGGAAACCATTCGACAGCTGCTCATCATTTTCGAGAGCCTTCTTGTAATAAGATTTTGCCAAGTTGGCTGACGTATCCCAAATCAACGGATGGTACTGGGGTCACGTCTCTCCCGGGTTCTGGAAGAACCCAACTGCCTATCACCTCGCTTAACAATGATCCGAAATTAACACCTGCACAAAACCTGTCCTTTGGATCATGGGATAAGGTTGAGCAGGAGAAAGTTCACACCTCTCCAGCACTAGAACAGCAGTGCAAGTTGTTTGGCTTTAATCTGGTTGATAAGGCGGTGCTTGCGCCTGTTTCGTCAGCGCCATCTCATTGTGAAGATTCTGAAGGATCTGGTCCCTGGTCTTCCACTGACCTCACTTCCCCTACCTCTGTCGATACCCACGTGAGCAAGCTTGCAAACGGAGCATACCAGCCGCCCACCGTTCCAGTGAGGAGCGGAACCAAAGTAAGTTTTTTTTTCTTCTTTTTCCTTCATTTCTTTCTCGATATTAGATTCTGATCTGACAATGTTTGGCGTTTTTGAATCTGGATTATTAACCGATTCCGTCATGCAGGTGAACTATTATGGGAAATTCGGTCGTACCGTTGATCTCAAAAAGTGTGACAGTTACGCCGCTCTCAGACGCATGCTGGCGACCCTTTTTGGCCTTGAAGGTCAACTGGATGATGTTACGAAGGGTTGGCAGCTTGTTTACACTGACCACGAAAATGACGTCCTCCTGGTGGGGGATGATCCTTGGGAGTAAGTCTCTTTACTCTGTAACGTGATTTGTTGTCAATGCGGTCCCAAGGCTTGAAACCTTTCCCTCATGTCTATTTTTTGAACATCTTGTTATAGTTCCGCGTTATCCCTCACCTGACTGTTCTGTCTACAGGGAGTTCTGCAATTGTGTGCGGAGCTTGAAGATCCTGTCTCCACAAGATGCTGCGGGACAGAACGTAGGAAAACTCCCCATGAACAACTGTGACGAGGACGATGATTGGCTTTCTGCAGTTCAGAGCAGTGGCTAGAAGGTGTCTCTCATTTTGGATGTGGCACTGAGTGTTCATATTGTCCCTTTTTGTTTTTGTGAGATTTTGACTGCAGCCCTCCAATTCAGAACTGGCGGCTAGGGACGAAAGGCTTTTCTCCTATGTAGTAGGAGAGTTTTGACTGCAAAAGCCTGATCCGTGTACAGCATTGCATTGCTACAGGCCGTAATGGGAACGTTTATGATAAATGTAGGTTGTATACAGCGGCAGAAGTATTACGAGTATCTATAGAGCCTTCAAGAGATGGAAGACGAACTGGTGTGCACCCTCTGGTGCTAGTATGACTCCATGCATTGTGAAGTGGGTTCCTTCAGGAATGCTATTGCTTTTCATCGTCTTAGATCGTAGATGTGAAAAGTCTTTCTAATGAGCACTTGTCTGTTGTGTTGTGGTACTCCTGATCTGTAGCGCTTGAAAGGACTAGGTGAAGAGGATTAGACAGGAGTAGCCAAAATTTTGGTTTTTTTAACGGGACCTCATCATATTCACTAAGTGAGTGTAAAGTAGTTAAACAGCACCGTCAACCGCGGAATTTCTGCATGGCACCATGTCATCACATGAATCACCGTAGCTTAAGTTGACGACTTGAGAATCAGATGAGAAAGTGATGCACACGACTCGTCAGGATGAAGGACCCGCTTTGGTAGGCCATATTTATTTCCCATTGTTCCCCATTCTGGCAGTGACAGGATATACCTTCTGCGTTCACTTACATAGACTGAGTGGTTACATTGACCTGCTAATAAACAAATTCATCAACAGTAGTGGTTTATGTTACTTCTGGGATTTGCGTTCTTACATTTGGGAATAATCAGAGAGGAGCACATGTTACAAGAAGTCCCTGAAGCTTTTGCTGTGCTGACTATTACCTGGGTTGGAGTGAGACTGTAGGTTCTGACAATAAACCTATTACCTGTTATCTCTTGTGCAAACTTCGTCACGACTTGTCATGCCCGTGCAGAATTCACGTAATTGTGGGGTTTGTCAGCGTATGTATGTATGCATACAACCACTGAAAGCCTATGGAATTAACACCGTAGTCCCCTAAACCAGACCTCTAAAAGAATTACAATTTGATTGACTACTCTCCAGTTTGTCATCCTACGAAACTATTAAAAATCTAAAAACTTTTTGTGTTGCAAAAAACCCAAATAGTTGTAAATGTATATCAAGCAGGTATTCATGGTTGGTATTTGTAATACTCTCCATCTACCATAAAACTGTGAACATTTTGTAATTTTGTGTAAGTTATCAAACACATGAACTACTGTTGATTGTGCATGTTATCCTAACCACTCTCAATTCATCCATTCAAAAACGAGAATACAAATGTAAGAAAGCAATTTCTATTCCACAAACCACCCTTGGCATGTTTCTTCAGATTTTCACAAGAGTACTTCCAAGTATGCTCTAGAATTAAATACATTTCTAGGCCGTCCTAATCCTTTGATGTATCCAAGTTGATCAATAAATAAATGAATACATAACAATGAGAATGAGTACTACTCTTGTACATATCTGATGCCTAATATTCATGGGTGCAGCCTCCCCCACCAAAAAACAAAAACAAAAATCATGATAATGTCCTATGGCTTAAACGACTCAATTAGACATGTAGAATTTAAATATTTTACTAGTTATAAATTACAAAAGTAAATTTAATCAGTTTGAAAGATTAAATTACAAAATTTGTAGAACAGAATAAGAAATGTTTGATGATGCTATAATGCACCAGTTACAATGGATTTAAAAATAAAAATAAAAATAAATAGAATATTGAATATTCTAAACAGTACTGTTTATAGATTCCATGATATAAAATATAAATAATCATTACTAAACACTGAGGTTGGATTGGTTAAAAACTTTTATACTATATTAAAATTATATCCAAGACATCATCCAAATTAAAAATAAATAAATTCTAATCACTGTTTTTAAAAACTTTAACATGTGCTTGATAGAATATTCTTTGAAATTGCACAAAAATTCTTGCTTTTTTTTCTTTTTTTTTTTTTTTTTTTTTTTTTTCATAATATACAAAAATTATAAACTCGCCCAAATCAATGCATCAAATTTGGAATCTTTAATCTTTGTTACAAAAATAATACAAGTAATGGGCTTTAATCAACGTTTCTACTAAATTTTTTTAAAAAACCATATTAATGTCTATATATTATGACTTCTTAATTTAATAACTTATTTTTAATTAATCATATATATATATATATATTTATATTAAAATTTTTAACCTATTGGATTTAAGAAAAATTACAATCACTTATGTAAGAAATTATACTTAAATTGATATTAAAAATTAAATATAAAAATTAAAATATAAAAATATAAAAATTAAAATATAAATATTAAAATATAATAAAACTTCTAAATCGTTAAATCCCCAAAATATAATAAAACTTCTAAATCGTTAAATATCCTTATGGGATATTATTCTTGACCTTCAAAAACTCATATCTTTCAATTGGACTGTTCAAACACACTCGAATTTTACATGAAGTAGTGATGTACTACTAACAACTATCACAACAAATTTCAACTACAAATTCATTGCGAATCTTAAAATATCACCAAAATCCTAACAATAGCTTCAAATCCTAGTTTTTATACATCCACATGTAATTTTCTTTATATCTCACAAATTAAACACTTAAATGCCACAAAATTTATATGTATAGCTTCTTGATACAAATATTGATCTTTTTCAAAAGATTTTAGCTAAAAACTCATCTAATAACTTAAAATATGGCTCCAATCATTACTATGAACAAAATCACTTATTTACTACCTTTGATTTGGATGCATTGAGTTTAATTCTCTATAATTTCTTCATCTAGACACCAAATTCATCAAAAAATATATGAAAAATATAGTCAAGAAAGTTTTTTCTTCAATCCTAATCACCAATCTTCCATTGCTCTCCGTAAACATATGTTATGCCTCTAAGAGTGATAATAAGTATGAAATTGACATCTTAACTTTGAGCGCCAATAACTCCTTCATAAAAACTCCAAATCATACAAAATTTACATCCAATCCGTATCCGAAAACCTAAACTTGATGATTCTAGCCTCCAAAGATTGAATGACTTTGAAAGAAATACCCTAATCCCTAATAAGACCTCGGGCAGCCTCCTTGATGTCCATTGGACATGACCTTCAACCAATAGGAATGAAGATCACCATTCCTTGCCTTCATCCAACCATGCCTTGCTTTCATCCCTCTCAATAAGCCTCTTACTAGTTAAGATTTTCTTCTTTAGGCTCTAATCTCCTCTCAAGGCTTCATACTAAACATTTAGGTCGTATAATGTTTTTGAAATGTTATAATTAAAAAAGATAAAACTTAAAATAAAGTTTCTTAAATCCACTCTCTTTAAATTAATCTATTAACCATTCTACATACACCAAGACTTATAAACATATTATATGTTCTAACTAATTTTTACATATTATAAGCAATTACAGTACGACATCCATCCTCTCCAAACTTACACATCCTCCAACATGTGCTAATTTTACCATCTCTATTTTCTTCATCTTCAACCCTTTAAGGCATCTTCTTCCTCAAATTCTTGGGTCTAA